ACAAGCACTCTGAGACTGACTCTCAAGTTGCAAATTGGTTGCAACTCAGTGAGCAAGCCTACAGGGCAGAGATGGGAAGCAAATTCCTTCCTGACCCCATTTCCCTGCAGTATGTTTGGAACAACAGAAATTCTTACTCTTTAGTCTAGAGAACTGATATTTTTCTTGGTGGTTTAATGCTTTTTGTCTTCTATTTAAGAAATCTTTATATACCATATTCAAGGCATAAAGATGCTCTAATGAAAGCTGTCTGCATTCCGCTTGACGTGCAGATCTGCAATGCATTTAGAATTGCTGTGGGTGTCAGCTAGGGACAGGAATCAACAATGTCTCCCCCTATGGTCATCTACACTGACAACTCTCTTTTCCAGTCACACATTATAGTGTGATTCATTGTCACAAATGAGGTGAACATCTGCATTTAGGTCATGTGTTTGTATATGGTTAGTATTTATAGATTCTCTATTCCTTTGGTCTATTTCTCTGTTCTTACAGCACACTGGATTGTTATTTTTTCATAACAGGTGTTTGTATCTAGTAGTATAAGTCTTCCTTTGTTCTCTTCAAGATTTCCTTAAATATTCTTGGCCTTTTGGAACTTAATATAATTTTCTAATTGTGGTTTTAAAAAAACAGGACACTTTCCACGTCAGCCATTTCCAAGTATGCAAGCCAATAGCAGTGATCACACAAAATAATGCAATCATTATCACGACTTGTTTCCAAAACACTTTTATCACACCAAATGGAAAATCTGCACCCATTGTATTTCAGTTTAAATTCTGAGCACTAGGTTTGCTGAAAGCTATGGATAAGTGAAAACCGAAAATTCATTTGCAGTGCCCCCACTTGGATCAAGCCTTCATTGAACGTAAAGAATGTAATCAGTCTTGCCCTCAGGTAGAGTGCATTAGAAAGTGGACGACTTCCACGAACCCTGACCAGCCCAGGGAAAAACAATCTCCATTAGAGGCTTCCCTGGGTGTGCCCTGGGAGGAGATTGCCCATATTGGAGTTGCATAGT